TCTAGTCTTTCCCATTCTATTGTTTTCCTCTATTTCTTTGCACTGATCACTGAGGAAGGCTTTCTTATCTCTCCTTGCTATTCTTTGGAACTCTGCATTCAAATGGGTATATCTTTCCTTGTCTCCTTTGTCTTTCATTTCTCTTCTCATCACAGCTATTTGTAAGGCCTCCTCAGACAGCCATTTTGCCTTTTTGCTTTTCTTTTTCTTGGGGATGGTGATGATCCCTGCCTCCTGTACAATGTCATGAACCTGTCCATAGTTCTTCAGGCACTCTGCCTGTCAAATCTAATCCCTTGAATCTATGTGTCATTTCCACTGTACAACTGTAAGGGATTTGATTTAGGTCATACCTGAATGGTCTAGTGGTTTTCCCCACTTTCTTCAATTTAAGTCTCAATTTGGCAATAAGTTCGTGGTCTGTGCCACAGTCAGCTCCCAGTCTTGTTTTTGCTGGCTGTATAGAATATAATCAATCTGATTTTGGTATTGACCATCTGGTGATGTCCATGTGTAGAGTCTTCTCTTTTGTTGTTGGGAGAGGGTATTTGTTATGACTAACACATTCTCTTGGCAAAACTCTATTAGCCTTTGCCCAGCCTTGTGCACACCAGGACCCAGGAGAAATGAGCAGTGACCCCACAGGAGACTGACCCAGACTTGCCCGTGAGTGTCCAGGAGTCTCCAGCGGAGGCATGGGTCGATGGTGGCCTGCTGCAAGGCTGGGGGCAGTGAGTGTAGCAGTGCATGCCTGGGACCTTTTGGAGGGGGTCACCATTATCTTCATTACCTTCACCACTAGGCCCTGGTTTGGCCCTGGTAAATAACAGGGAGGGAACACAGCCCCACTCATCAATAGAAAATTGGATTAAAGATTTACTGAACATGGTCCTGCCCATCAGAACAAGACCCAATTTCCCCCTCAGTCTCTCTCCCATCAGGAAGCTTCCATAAGCCTCTCATCCTTCTCCATCAGAGGGCAGACAGACTGAAAACCACAATCACAGGAAACTAACCAATCTGGTCACATGGACCACAGCCTTGTCTAACTCATTGAAACTATGAGCCATGCTGTGTAGGGTCACCCAAGACAGATGGGTCATGGTGGAGAGTTCTGACAAAATGTGGTCCACTGGAGAAGGGAATGGCAAACCACTTCAGTATTCTTGCCTTGAGAACCCCATGAACATGAAAAACTATTCCCAAATTCTCTAAATTAGTAAAAGTTGCTTCAAAACATTCTCTCAAGCTGGACATGATGGTTTAATAAAAAGAAACTGCTACTCATTAATAACTAATCAGTGAATGCAGAAAGGGCCATGACTAAAATAAAATTGTTTATGATGCTACAGACTGGAATCACAAGTCAACAATAAAAAATTACAAATAAATATTTGCTGTTGAGAGAATTATTCTACCAAAAGAACCACAAATCCTTACTAAAAGAGACTATGACTGTGCAAAACTTTAAAACAAAGTTGACCTATCACCAATACTTTTACTGTTTTTCTGCCAGTTTTTACTAGCCCATGAATTAAGGCAAAATATAAAAATAAAAGAGGTAAAACCTGGAAAGAAGAGTACAAAATATATTTATTTATGATTATATCTATTTGCCAATATACCTATTACCTTGAAATAACTGATGAGAGAAATCAGTTAATTGCTGTTCTAAAAATCAACATACAAAGCAGTTTTTATATGTATAAGCAATAATAAATATAAAAATATGTTAAAGAAAATGTTTCACTTATCATAGGACCAAAAGAGACAAAAATTCCTACATACAAACTTAGGTAATGTTGAGAACCAATACAAAATAAAATTATAATATTATTCCATTGAGTTTTAAGATTGAAATTAAAAGAAAGGTAAATCACAATCCTGAATAGGAAAGCTCAATACTGAAGTGATGTTAGTGCCTCTAAAATTAA